TAAAACAAACATAGGTTCATACATTCAACAAATATTAACACACCTTAAACAAATCAGTTCAAGTTAGCTTCCTCCTACCTAGAATTGGTCCTTCCTCACACAGGTAAACCCCTTAGGGAGGGAATGCGTCCCTTTTATCTGCTTAGCCTCTCATGACCCACTCCTTCTCTCCTTCTCCCTTCAAATTCAATTGCTGCTTTTCACAATTTTTGTTTTCTTCGTTATGACCCTTGTCGTACCAAAAATCCCCTTTTTTTCTCTACCTAAAGTTTGTGCTTCTTTGAAGGATAAGAATGAATAACCAAAGACGAAGAAGAAATTAATCGATAGCCTTCACAACAACAAATATGCACAACCACCACGATTGAAGAAAAGCCGAGAGAGAACATGATTGAAGAAAGGTCGAGAGAGAACACCAAATAGACCAATGTATTACTACTCGTACCAAATTCATCTTTAAGTCTTGGCCAAATTTTCTAAGCAATAGGAAAGACATAACAACAAAGGCTAATTAACAATTTAAATGCAATTAGTGTGATTAATTTTCTAACCCATGGATTACCGTGAAAGACCAACTTCTGTTAAGTCTTTGCACAACTTTGTTTTAATTTATTTATTTCAATCTAGATAGAATTGTAGGAAATATTCTACAGAAAAAAAATGAATAAATTATAGTATGAAGTAAAAGGATGAGAGACGGATAATATTTTTGAAAATATTCAACACTTTTTCGATCGTTCTATTTTAAATTTTGTGTGAAAAACACATGTAAAAAATATGTCCAAACTTTTTTTAAGAAAAGAAAAATCATGTAAACCATAATGTAAAATTTACACAAGTATTTTAAATTTTTTTAGGTCTCCCTAATAATTAATTTTATGTGAAAAAAAAACTGTAATATTCCGCTTAAAATAGACAAAATAATAACTTTGTCGAGCAATATGAAATGTATATTTACGAAGAGATAGTTTGTAAAGTGAATTTCAATAATAATTTAAAAAATTAATTCTTGGCTTTAAGTCAGAAGAAATCAAACGAAAAATATTAGAACATTAAAAGTAATTTAAGGATAGGAGTTAGTTAATTGTAAAAGTTTTTTTGTTAAATAAAAGTTAACTATTTATTTAAATATATGATCCTGATTTCTTTCTTTCATACATTCTCAAAGAATGAAAAATATTTAAATATATGCACAACTCAAAGTCACTTATTTCTAATATAAAAAGACATACCTGCTTTGCTTCTATCTACACATATGAAAATGAATTTCTCCAATATTTTTCGATTATCGTATTTGTTCATATTTTGCTGGTTTCCCGTTATGAAATTGAGTGCATAGGTTGCCCAGAGTTAGTGTACATCCCAAGAGAGAGAGAGAGAGTCACTTTTGAAGTTAAAGTATCGTCTCAAACATTCTTCAAATCGACTTTCTTCTCGGAATTCCAATCGCTGTCAATGGAACAACATTACATCTGTTGGTGCCGAGCTTCACCTTAGCATTCAATTTTCTTCTTCCGATGAGAGTGTAGGTTATCCATTCAACGAAGAAGTTTTCGAAGAAGCATTGGAAGAAGGGTATGGTGGAGAGATAAACCCTTGTTTGGTTTATGATTTTAAGCATTTCAATTACTTAGATTTCAGAGACAATCTTTTTCAAACTATTCCGATCCCTTCTTTCATTGCAACAATCACTTCCTTAACTCACCTCAACCTTTCTAATGCCGGAATCATAGGGACCCTTCCTTCTCAGATCGGAAATCTTTCCGATTCACTCTATCTTGACCTTCAAAGTGACGAAACTTGGTTTACTGACAATATTGATTGGGTGTCAAGTCTTTCAAAGCTTCGCTATCTTGCCCTGAGCAACATTTGGCCAGTTGGAGGAGGTATGCCAATTCCTTCTTTTGTTGGGACAATGACCACATTAATTCATTTGGCCAGAAAAAGGAGGTATGCCAATTCCCTCTCGATTGGAAAATCTCTTCAACTCCATATACCTTGATCTTCATAGGGGTTATTCTGTTTATCAAACTTTTTTAACTAGAAATGTTGACTAGTTGTCGAGGCTTCTGAAGCTTGAGTATCTTGATTTGGGAGGTGCAAACCTATCCCAATTGTTTCACTGCCTTCACACTCTCCAAGCTCTCTTTCAATGTTGATGCACCATTTCCAATCTGAGTTTTTTAAGTATGTTAGACTTGTTTTATATTGATTTGAATGAAATATTACAACAAAAACTCAATTGCAAGCCTTTGATGCATAGTTGATTAAATTTTTAGGTCATTTATGTATTGGTTGATTTATTTTCAAATATGAGAACATTATTTAAATTAGAGGTCAGATATATTTTTCTGCAAGTAACCACAAAATATGACTGATTTGGCTCTTATAAAACTTTAATCTCTATTTTCTT